AAAAATAAATAAAACTATCTAGATTAGAAGGAAAGATATAAAACTGTCTATATTCACAGATAAAAATATCATGTACGCAGAAAAGCCAGTGGAATCTGCAAAAGCACTACTAGAAATAAGCTGGCATTAGCAAAGAATTAGGCTACAACACCAACATAAAAATCTATTGCAAAGGTAAAAATCTATTGTGAAGACAACATCATAAAGAGTAAAAGATACTTTATAAGAAACATACAGCAGCCATCTAAGTGAGGTATCAGATAAGTCCACATAAAAGGTACACAGCTTACAAGGACCTATATGTGACCTCCTCCCTGGGGGACGGACAACAGAAAAGTGGGTGAAGGGAGACACTGGACAGGGCAAGATATGACAGAATAATAATTTATAAATTATCAAGAGCTCATGAGGGAGGGGAGAGTGGGGAGGGAGGGGAAAAATGAGGACCTGATGACAGGGGCTTAAAGTGGAAAGCAAATGTTTTGAGAATGATGAGGGCAATGAATATACAGATGTGCTTTGCACAGTTGATGTATGTATGGATTGTGATGAGTTGTATGAGCCCCTAATAAAACGATTAAAAAATAAATAAATAAAAGGTACACAGCAACCTATGTGATCCAAAGACTGTAAATAATAAAACCCAAGATTGGAGGAGGGAGTTGCATTAGAGCTTAAATTCTGAGCACATCGTCTGCAGAAGGCTACAGATCACAATCAAGGCCCAAAATTCAATTGCAGAGTTCATACATGGATAAGCTTCCACTAACTTACCTCAGACCATTGACCAGGGATGTGAATAGTCTTGCCCTCAATAGTGTAGTGGATTACTGCAAATATAGTTAGGTTAAAACTTGACATATGTTTTCCGTTTGGATCCATTTTTAATTTGTTCTAGTTTCTACTAACTTCTGCTATCATTTGGATTAAGGTTTTTCTATGTTTTATTTTGTTGTCTTTGGGGGAGTTTTTTATCATTTTCCTTATATGAAATCCAGAATAGGTATATCTATAAAGACAATAACTAGATTAATAGTTCCTTAGGGTTATGGAAAGGTAGGTTGGGGGTAATGGGGAGCTAATAATAATGGGTACAAGAATGAAGTAAATGGTCTAAAATGGATTGTGGTGATGATTGCCCAACTCTTAATATATTTCAACCACTGAATTGTATGGTCCATGAATTGTATGTTAGGAAAACTGCTAAAAAATAAGGTATACATAGTGGAAAAAGCACAAAAATATATACAATGGAAGAAAATTAAAATGCACAAAGGATACATAAGATGTGGAAAAGACAATCAAAAGCCATCCTACAAAAAACACATTATAAAAAAATCAATTAGTTCATGCAGTCAAGTTTTAGAAAAAGAGGTTAGATTGTCCAAATATAAAATCTATATGGCTTAAAAAACACACTCAGGTTCTAACAACCAAGTATTATACCGTTTCAAAATGCAATAGCTTACCTCTCTAGCAGCACAATCATGAGGAGCTTCTTCTTTATTTACTTTTCCTTTTGGAAATCCCCAGCCTGACTTTGCTAGGTATCCCTGAACCAGTAGTACCTAGAAAACCAGCAGAGACAAAATTAAAACTTGCCTGTCTTTCTCAGGATCTTTTCTAGATTGAAAGTGTTTGTTTTTTTCCCTCACTTGAAGTACCTGTTACCACCAATACTTACACACTTTCCACCAGTCTGGAGTGTGCAGGAAAGAATTACATAAATTTTGAAAATATATTTTCAACAATGAAATAGCATTTCTTTGCATGAAGTCACACGGTAACAATGATAAAATCTTATGAGCGAGAATCAAGCTATACTAAATTTGAACAATTTGGCCTTTTTGCAATAAGATCAAAGGATATCTTAAAACCTTAGTTCAAAACATTATGCATGCTTTGCTGTATATATTGGAAACCTTGAAAGAAAAATGTAAAGAAAAAATTTTACTTAATATATTTTATTAGTACGATAATATAACAACTATTCCATTAAAACAGTCACTATTATTTTTCTCACTCACATTTTCAAGTGTTTCATCGAGAATAATTGCACCATATGTTGGTACTCCCATTTTATATTCCTTCCATTCATCCAAAACTTTCTCCACATCTTCACCTTGAGGCAGCAAAAATGGACAATGACTGAAAAGTATAATTGGTGTCAAGGAAGCTACTTTCTCTACTAATACATCTTGAGCATTGACAGAGAGATCCATCTACAACAACTGTGTATTTTACATGAAATTACTCAATCTTAAAATTTCATCTGAGTTCAACCTTTTCCACATGTTTTCTCGTCCCCAGACACTGTTAACAAACCTGTAATTAATCTAGAGATAAAGTTGAATCAAAACGTTTTGGGTGCTCATAGCCTGGATCCCTCTTCACTGCCATCAAGTCAATGCTGACTCACAGCCACCACTGAAAGCCCAGTCTTTCTCCCTCAGAGCAGCTAGTGGTAACAACTACATCACCAGGTTCCTACTAAATTAACACAAACTAATGTGAACCAGATGAACTCAAGTACTCAATTTGGAGGTTGAATTCATCAATCACAGAGTAAAAGTATGCTAAACCTGGTAAGAAGCAATAAGGGTATCCTACATTTATATTGGTATGAGGTACAAAAACACAAAGGAAATCATTAACTTTCAAAAACTAGGGATAAAACTCTATGCCATTTGAGTTCTTCACCATGTACATATATTGCTTTATAATTAAATATTTTTTAATGAAGATTAAGGATTATAGAGAGACGTAAAGGCCTGGTGGCATAGTGGTTCTATCTCGGGCTGCTAACTGCAAGGTCAGCAGTTTGAGCCACAAGCCACTCTGGAAGGAAGTTGGGGCTTTCTACTTCTAAAGGAGTTATAACCTCAGAAATTCACATGGGCAGTTCTCCCCTATCCTACAGGGTCGCTGTGTGAGTCAGCATCAGCTCAAGGGCAATGAATCTTTGATTGGTATGGAGCGGTATTAAGGAAAATAAAGCCAGTTTCAAAAGTAATTTGCTATGTCCCCAAAATGAGGCAGTACAAATTTTTTTTAAAACAGTAAATATAATCTAAAATCCTGAAACTGCACGTATATTTTAGGCTTATACCATTCCATGTTAATAAAAGCTTCATTACCATACTATTAATTATAGAAGGTGTAGGCAAAATTAAAACTTGTTTCTCAAAGTATAATTTATGTTTCTTAAACATCTTCGATCTTTTGATAAATACTTCTATTCCATGTTCTCATTTTGATGTTAGAGGAATATGAGCCTGTTTTCAATTGTCTGGATGACCACCTATATCAGGAGTTCCTTGGTTTCAGAAGGTAAATGCCACTATGAGGGTACATTAATTGCTATGGGCTATTAAAAGACACAATTTAACACACACTTAATGGATTAGAGCCAAAGAACACACCCAAAAAGCTACAGAGAGGGTCCATAAGCATGAAACAGAAGTAATGGAAGAGCTGGTGATGCTCCCGAGGATGGGAGGGGAAGAGGAGCTGATACCAAAGGCTCAGCAGAAAGTTAATGTCTAGAAAATGATGATGGCAGCATATGTACAAATGTGCTTGATACAATTGATGTTTTGAAGTTTGGATTCTTATAAGAATCCAATAAAATGATTCTTATAAGCCTCCAATAAAATGATCTTTGGATAAATTTTTTAAATAACTGGTACTATATGCCTGTTAAACTCAAAATATCCACAAAGAAACCAACTTCATAGTCACAGTATGATCAGGTCTAGATTAAACAAACACATTAAAAACATTCTGCATTTAAATTTTTATTTTCGTTTTATAGTAATACCAAGAACTAGAGAGCCTCTCACCCCCACCCCATCACAAATAGCCTCACCAAGAAAATCAACCACCTTTGCACAGGTTTCCAAACTTTTCTGGCTTACTGTCCCCTTTTTAGGAAAAAGAAAAAAAAAAGTACTAAGCATGCCCCTAACGATTAAAATTGTTTGTATGAAAGCCCTTCAACCAAGATAAAATATAGGTATCTGCTTTTGCCGCCCTCCAGGATGATTCCAGCACCCTCCAGGCGCAGCATCCCCTACTTTAGGAAACACTTAGCTATAGCAGCACTATAATATACACTTTAAAAATGCATGCCTGTATTAATCTCCCTGTAATTATTCAATGCCTTCATTTTGGAAGAAAAAGGATAATGTTTAGATGAAACGACAGACTTGCTAAGATTCTGAAAGGTATTTCCCAATACAACTTTGGCTTTAGATGTTTAATAAATGTCCTCCCAGTCATTATGAAGTATAAATTTAAAATATTTCCAATTAAGTTTTTAACCATGGATAACCTGATATAAAAAGACTCAAGAACAACGATAAAACTCACAATTGTTTAAGAGAGGAAGAAAAGTTTGGGGATTTTCCCTGTTCTCTTCCTGAGTTTTTGTTTTGTATCAATGCTTAAAAGAGTGCTTTCCTGCTAAATAGTCCCAGGTTTAAACCCATCAGTGAAAACCGCATAAAAAGGGCCCAGTGATCTCCCATAAAGATAGCCTATGGTGCAGTTCTATTCTGTCCTATAGGGTTACTGTGTTTTGGAATCAACTTGCTGCAATACAACAGTGCCTAAAATGTTTTAATTGTTTATTTAACTAGTCTAATACATGGGTTCTCTCCATGAATCAGAATCATTCTGAAAGCAATGGAGTGGGGATTTTTTCTTTGTTTTTCCATATGTGTTGATGCTTTTATTTTTTGGGATCTTAATTCAATTCACTCATATGAATGGGAATTTTTTTAAGTACCATTTTTATTTAATAAGCTAAATATATTCATTTAGAAAAAAGTCTAAACCATGTGATAAATACCATTTCTGACTTTTACTAAAATTCTTAACCACTACTTGATATCCGAAGGGAGCCCTGGTGGCATATGCCTTGAGTTGCTAACCACAAAGCTAGTGGCTCAAACCCACCAGCCAAATCATCAGGAGAAAGATGAGGCTTTCGGCTCCCATAGATTTACTGCCTCAGAAATACAAAGGGAAGCAGTTGTTTTCTGTACTATCAAGACACTGTGCATTGGACACTACTAATGGCACTGAATTTGTTTTAGGATCTGATTTCCTTAACCCCCAAACCAAATTATTTTTGAGATTCCAACCTGGACTACAGAGGCTATAAGAGGCTGCCACCAATTTACCAGTCACCCAGAGTCACTTCAGTTTAAATATAGAACATAAGAATTTTATGCAAATGCTCCCTTGTATTATGCATATTCCTTCAACAAGTCACTAGTTTGTCTAATCTCTACATTCAAACAGTCTTTGCAAACACTGTGACAAACTTGCTCTCGGTATAATCATGCCGTTATTAATAGCTCCTCTCACACTCTGCAACCTCAATTCTGATTTCCTTGTCTTTCATATCTTCTACTTCTGACATCATTTTCCACAACTACATGCTGAACCTTGAAATTATTATTAAATAGTCTATCAGTTTGATTAAAACTCTGGCCACAACCTTCTAGTTTTCTTACTACACTGTAATTTCCTGTCCTCCCCACCATACCCCCCAGCATCAACCTACTTTTATTTTCTTCCATAAACTCCATGGCCCATCACATTTATCAATCCCTTACCAATATTCTGAACTCTTTTTCTTCAACTATTTCCTGAATACAACTCTGAAAACATCAATACACCTGAAGAAATGGGAGTCCCTGGGTGGTACAAATGGTCAAGTGCTTGACTACCAACCCCGAGGTTGGGAATTCAAACTTACTCAGAAGTGCCTTGGAAAAACAGACTATCGAGCAGTTCTGCTACACACACACACACACACACACACACACGGTCTTCCTGAGTCGGAATCAACTTGGCAACATCTGAAGAAAAATCAAGATTCTGGAACAGCGAGTAAATGGCAGAGTTAGGATTCTGAGTAATCAGGCTTCACCGCTCGCACTATTAACTTAGAACATGAAGCCTCTCCATTCCAAAATCCCCAAGGTATTACCAAAAAAATCAAACTCACTCTCGGCAAGTGGATTCCAACTCAAAGCAACTCCATACAGGGCTTCCAGGACTGTAAATCTTTATGGGAACACAGCCTCGTCTTTCTCAAGCATGTAGGTGGTTTGAACTGCTGACCCTGTGAGAAAAGCCCAATACCTAACCCTGGTACCGGGGTTCCTACAAGGTACCACAAACTCAGCTTATCCATAACTGAACCCAGTGCTTCCCCCACAAAAGTTCTCCTCCTGTATTTCCCTATGAATAGGAAAGCACTCTTGTCTACTCAAACTGCTTAAACTAAAATCCTGGATACTACTTTATTTCTTCTACTTAAAACATACAATTTACCACCAATGTTTACCTCCTACATATGCTAAATTTGACTTTTTCTTTTTTTTTTTAATTTGACTTTTTCAATTCAGCTCTACTGTTTAACAGTTCCACCAGTCTTCTTATTGTGAAGTAACAGGTAGGCTTCTAGTCTCTCGTCTCATCTTCCTTCAATTCACTGTCTACATTACTCCAAAGTGGCTTTCAATTATGCTTTTGGAGAGAAATAATGTGGCAAAATGTTAACAATGGGCAAATCTGCAAAAAGGACAGTTTTTCATCTTTCCTGTAAACTGAAGCTTTTTTCATTTAAACAAACAAAAAAAAACCTCCTGTATTCCTCTATTGCAGATTCCTGGTGGTCTAGCAGTTATACATTGGGCCACTAGCCACTAATTGCAAGGTCAGACGTTCAAAACCACCAGCTATTCCTCAGGGGTGGTGGGTGGTGGTGGGGTGGACAGGGCTCATAAAGAGTTAAGTCTTAGAAATTCAAGGAGGCAGTTCTACCCTGCCCTACAGGGTCACTATAAGTCTGCACCCATTTGCTGGCAATGAATTAGGGTTTGCTTTCTTTGTTTTTGCAGGGGTGGAGGGGTGGTACTCCTCTAATAAGGATCCCTAATGGTTAGATGCTCAGCTGCTAACTGAAGGATCAGCAATTTGAACTCACCAGCCAGTCACTCCTCCAAAGAAAGATGTAGTAGCCAGCTTCCATAAAGGCTACAGCCTTGAAACCCTTCTGTGTCGTACAGAATTCCAATAAAGTTGAAGCTCACTTCATAGCAATGAGTTTATTTTGTTTTGATTTCCCACTGTTCTTATAAGAAGTCAGGGTAATATTGTGGGTTAGGCTAACAGCAAGGTCAGTGGTTCAAACTCACTCATAAAAGATTTAGTCTAAGCGGGCGAATAAGCAAATGTGGTGAAGAAAGCTGATGGTGCCCGGCTATCAAAAGATATAGCATCTGGGGTCTTAAAAGCTT